ACTGGAGAAGAGAAAATACTCCTGTGATTCCTGCAAACATGACACTAGCACTCCAGTGCAGTGAAAACTCATCCACAGGAGCCAAAAATGCATTGTACAGTCGTATTCGATTACAATCTTCAGGGAGTATGATTCCAACTTCTTCAACAGTGGTTACCCATCAAACATCTCCAAAACCAGTTCCTTCAGAAACGGTCACCAAAGATGTCATTGTGACGAAGAATCCATTACAGGAAGTTTGTTTTCAGGTTACGTCATCGTCTGATAAGGCAACGAAAAGTGCTGAGAAATCTCCACAAAAGGGGGCAGAAGATATCCAGAGGTATCCAGTGGAGCAAAGTTTTCCAAGTCATCCGAAATTAGTCCCCACATCTCCAGTTAGTACCTCTTCTACAACAAACCAGCCAACCACTAACAAAATGGTCATGTTGAATTTGATACCCAAAAACCAGTCGGTCCCTTGTAGTCCTGTACAAATAGAGATCCCAACTAATTCACCGCTGAACACTGTCAAGTATTTAAAACAAATTCCAAACTTGGCCAAAGTTGCCACTCAAGCAATACAAACAAGTCAGGAAAGTTGTAAAAATTGGAATAATTCCACAAGAAACAAAACCATCTTACCAAAAAGTATCTTGCTGGGTGTACATCCACCTCCTGTAATTGATTTGCCTCTTGTATTGCCTCAGACTTCAAAAATAAGTCCCAACTCTGGGGTGGCAATTATCAGTACAGCACAAAAAATAAACCCAACTACTGACAGTCAGCTCACAAATACTGTTGGGGTTACTTCAACTGTAGCTTCAACAAAACAGAAGAATCGTAAAATTATACTGTTTCCATTGACATCGAATGCCAATAGCAGTGGAACTGTGCTTGCTCCGGGAACCCCTTTGACAGCCACACCTATTGCTGCTGCTATTACTACTAGTGCTGTTGTCACTTGTGCTACTACTACATCACCTTCAATGGCTACACCCCTCCCAAGTTCATTAGCTGGACCCAATCTGCAAGCAACAGTGTCTCCTTTGTTAATTTCCTCTGCCCCAGCTGTAGTTGCTCCCACTGTAGCACCTGTGGTACCGTCTGTTTGGCTAGTGCCATCACAAACTAGTTTAACTTCTGTGGATTCTAAACTTACTTCAAGTCAAATACAGAACTCGATCTCCAAACAAATGGACATTTTACCTAAGACTATTCACATCAAATCAACTGCGACAGCAACAAGGACAATGACACATGCTTCACTTACAAGTTTACCCTTGCCAACCCAAACGGTAACCACTGTAATGGCAAGCAGTCCATCACCCGGCAGCAACACCACTAGCCCAAATTGCTCCATTCAGAACCAAGTAGTGACCATCACTCCAGTGAGTGAGGCTGCACCAACTGCTGCAGGTATGTCTTTACTGGAGAAAATTACTGTTGTCAGACCAACTAGTGGCATGCCCAAAAAGATGCAAGAAAAATCAGATCCATCCACATCAGATTCCGTTTCCCTAAAACAGGATAAATCTGTTGAAGTTAGTAAATGTCAATTCAAGAAGAATGAGACATCTACACATTCATCCCCAGATGAACAAACTCTTTCTAAATCAACACAGTGTGTTTTGTCTCTAAATGCCAAAAGAAAAATTGTACCCGATTCCGACATACCATCATCGATCATTTCATCATCATCATCATCTAAAAAGAAAGCTCATATCAGTTCCCAAACATCTGTATCGAAAAGCTCAACTCAAAAAAATTTAGAGAGTGTCTCATCATCATCATCATCATCATCATCTTCTACTTCAAAAGGTGTGGACACTTCAGAGGACTTTACAGTTGCACTTGTTGCTAAAAAAAAAGTTCCTGCATCAACTACTTGTACTTCAACAATCAAAAACTCGTTAAGCACATCAGCTGCTCCAAATGTCTCTCCTTTGGTCATTGTGAGAAAATCGGTTGGCTCCAATAAGCTTGTCGTCCACACAATGGTCAGTGCCAACAAGTTATTCCAGATTCAGGATGCAGATGTCTTAACATGTTCGTTGTGCACAGCTACAGTCAATGTTGATTTGATCAGGAGTCACTTGTACTGGCATTTTCATGTCGAGAATCGTAATTCTGCTCAGTGTTCTAAGGACAATCGATGCCACTACTGTTCTGTTATAGATTATGTGATCTCTATGATTCCCAAAAATAAACAGCCTGAGAAATCTGAGGATACTTCTAGTCCAACAAGCTGTAAGCCTCTTGGTGCAGAACAACAGTCAGAAAGTGATGCTATAGTATCCCAGGTTGGTTGTTTGCCCATGGAGTGTTCCAGTGACAGTGTTGACACTGAACCTCTGGAGCTAAAAATATCCTCAACATTTTCGTTGCAGTCTGATGTAAATGATTTGAACAGTGAAGGGCAAAGTGTCGAATTACCAGATTTAGGAACTCAAAAGGAAAAAGAGAAACAAATGCAAAGTCAAGAAGAAAGTCCACCATCAAGTTCAGATTTGCCGAAACCTACTTTGTCTAATGATGAAGAGTCTTCTGGAACTTTTACTGAAGATTGTAATGCTGCAAGCCCGGTTTTGGATGTTGAAAAAATTGATGAAACTGAAATTCATGAAACGGTTGATATTATAGATGATGCAGGTGAAAAATCTGTAGAGGAACGTGACACCAGTGGAAAAAATGCAGAGGTGGAAGACAATGCAAATAAGAAAGATGCGACAGAAGATGATGCAAACAAAAAAGTTTCAGCAGAAGATAATGCCAACAAAAAAGATATGGCGGAAGATGATGCCAACAAAAAAGATATGGTAGAAGACGATGCAAATAAAAAGAATATGGTCAACGATAATGCAAATAAAAAGAATATGGTGGATGATAATGCAAACAAAAAAAATATGGTGGATGATAATGCAAGTGAAAAAATTATGGAAGATGATATTGCAAGTGAAAAATGTGCAGTAGTGTCAAACAAGAACTTTAAGGCAGAAATTACAAATCAGTCAGAAAAGAACACTGTCTACAAAGGAAATTTCTATATTTGTGGATTTAAAGAATGCACATTTTCAAGCCTGGGAATGGAAGATTTTAAAACGCATCAGGAAACCAAGCATGCTAAAGCAGATGGCTACTCTTGCGTCCATTGTCAGCTGGAATGCCTTGAACCTGAAATGTTAATCCATCACATGGACACTCACCTTTGTGGAGACATGTTCATTCTTTATCGGTGTGCTTTCCCTGAGTGCAATTTTGGAACCAATCTGATGAAGTCCTTTATTGAACATAATATTCAAGAACATCCAAGAGAGACCGTTTTTCTTTGTTATTACTGTAATGCTAATTTTCAGGGTTGTTCAGCACTTCACGAGCACCTTCGTGCAAACTTGCTCAAGTATGTGCATTGTCCTCATTGCTCTGTGCGTAATAGCCTTCGGAACACAATCCTCTCACATATCAAATCTGACCATCCAGACAAGCCAAGACGGATATTTGTCACCGGTCAGATGGTTTGCCAGCAGAAACAGAAAGTACTAAATGGAAGCATCTTTATGGATTCCGAATCTGACAGCTCTGATATCGATAGTGACTGCATGATTGTTGACGATGACATTCTCGATAGGCATCTCATAAAGCAGACTAATCTTGCTGTTCGTGACATATTCGGAAAGTCTATTGGAAAAGAGGCACAATCCGGAAAAAACAGTATACAAGCCAGAACCACTTTTAACCGCAAGTACTCGAATAGTGATGACAACGACAGTGACTGTATAATTGTTGATGATGCATATGTTGAACAAAATCTGGTTGAACTTGATGCGCCAGAAAAGACTGACAGCAAAGAGGTAACTCCTAAAAAGATGTGCAAAACATCGCCAGATGTTACCATTAAAACTAACAGCAAGATTCAAGATGACACTGATTCAAAGGCTAAATTAACAACAAATTTGACTGAACCTGCTGTTTTAAAGGAGAAGGAGAGTGTAATACCCAAACAGACGAGTAATATAGCCGTAATGCCATTAAATTCTTCAGATTTAACCAAAGAAAAAAACAATTCTAAGGAGTTGATCAAACCTGCATCCACGAATAATGAAAAGGATGGCTCAGAATCTGAGGAGAGCAGTGCATATCTTCGAGTGAAGAAAGTGACCCACACTTATTCACGACAAAAAGAGAATCGTTTAGGTTCAAATCAACAAAAGCCCGAAGACAAAGGAGTTGATAACCAAAAGTTTGACAAAGACACAACTTCTGATTCGGATGAAAAATCTGCACAAGATTCATCTACGTTAACAAAGTCTTGCAAATGGAAAATCTTGATTCGAAACAAGTCGCATGGCAAAGTGGATGTTGGGACGGGGGGTCTGGATTCCATCATCAACCCACTCTATGTATTTGTTGGCAACGAGGTGCATTGTCGTATTTGCACTTTCAAGTGTGTCCCTTTGAAGAAGATGCACAGTCATATTTTACTCATGCATTTGCATGTGTTTCTATACCAGTGCAATTTTTGTCATAAAAAGTGCTCATGCAAAGTAGAAATGACTGAACACTGTGAGTACCATGATGTCAACAACCAAGGATTTACAGTTCTCCCTGAGCCAAATTGGGATCAGGTTATCCGGAGTTGTCTTCCGGCTACGTGCAAGAATCCAGATGTGACCAATATAGCAAGTACACAAACTTTGCCATTGTCTAACAAAGACAAGTTAAACAAAGCAGAATATTCCGTATCCTCCAAAACAGTTAACATTGGCTGTAAAAGGAAATCACTTGAAATAGTAGGTTCGGTTGGCTGCAAGGTTCCATCAACGAAAGAGAATTCTGTAAATCAGTCTTCCTCTAACGCCAGAATTTCCAATAATGAAGACCGCAATATTTTTAGTTTATTCTCCTTTGGTCTTGAATTGGAATCAGAAATGAAACACAATGAGGAAGAATCAAATTTAGATTCTTGCAATTCATTAAAACACAGTAAATTAGATTCTAGTTTTTCTAATACACTGTTCACCATGCCAAATTTACCAAGCTTCGATAAAACACCTGTCAAGGATCCGCCTGCTCAGGAATTGCCACAGCGGACACCCACTCCAGAGGGCCATGACCAGATCACTGTAGGTAAGGAACAGTACATGAGAGAACTCCATTTGATAGCTATATCAAAGGTTTCCAATTGCAAAAATCAGAAGAAGAGCCTGTCCCCAGTTTGCATGTCGTCTCCTGATCACCTATCCAAATATCCGAATAATGCTCTGGCCAGACATCGTAGCTGTCGGAGTACTCCTGAGAAATCTCCATTCGGCTTAGCATCAAAGTCTTCGCGAGTGAAAAAATCCAAAAAGTCATTGACCCGTCACAACATGGTGATAACTCCCAAAACATTACGCAAGAAAGTACTGTCGAAAACATCAAAGCTGAAGTTAGGAAGAGTTCAGAAGAAAAGATCCAGTAGCAAGGGTCATTTGCTGAGATCAGCTTCTAAAGTGCGTCAAAGTCCAAGATCTTTGAAGAGCCGGATTGAGACAAAGTCCTTATTAAAGACTCCGGAAAAGTATGTTGCACAAAAACGCTCTCAAACTTTGAAAAGCCCTTCCGCTTCTCTGCACACAAAATCTCCCCAATCTAAAAGCCCCAAACCCAAGGTTAGTAAGCGCTTGGCTGTGAATCGGAAGAGAATTAAAACCACTTCTCGAAAACTGGTTAAGGCTTCAGTGCGAGCTGTGGTCAAAAAGCAAGACTTGACTTCAGTGAAAGCTGTGGTCAAAAAGCAAAATATGACTTCAGTGAGAGCTGTGGTCAAAAAGCATAACATGACTTCAGTGAGAGCTGTGGTCAAAAAGCATAACATGACTTCAGTGAGAGCTATAGTCAAAAAGCAAAATATGACTTCAGTGCGAGCTGTGGTCAAAAAGCAAAACTTGACTATTTCTCATGGCCAGCGTTCTGTAAAGAAAGCATTAAATCAAGCTTCAAGGTAAGCACTTCCATAATTATCTTTTTTATTGCATTATTTATCAAAAACTTAAGGTCACTGTTCCAATATTACCACATAGCGAAAAGGTATTGACTTGCTCGAGTTATTTTATATATATTTTTTTTTTTTTAACTCTCTCCCCAAATTTGTCTTTTTGAATCTCCATTCTGGTGTGAATGTCTAATGCAGAGCCGCCTTTGGCAACAATTTTAAAAGTTAATTTGTCACATTACTGAGATTTGGTTAGCCCCAGTCTTTCTTTGTCAAATTGGATCCCTTGTGCTGTTTCTATATTGTAATTAGCAGAAATGTGTAAATTACAAAATGTCTTGTTAAAAGAAAACCTAGAAAGTGATTTATATATATATATATATATATATATATATATATATATATATATATATATATATAAAAAAATGATGACTTTTGACTTGTTCGGTGGGTATGACTATCACTGACGTGCATTGTGTGGCTAACAATGTCATATGAAACCGGCAAGCAGTTTGCAAAATTTATTGCACAGATGTAAGCCATTTATTGTTGAGGAATTTGTGCCTGAAGGGTGTGCTGCTTATAGATTTTAAAGCTTTTGGTCAGTTCATATTAATTGGAATGTGACTTACCACAGTGTGTGCAGGTAAGATCATTGTTGACCTGGAATGATAGTTATGCCTGGGTCTCTCTCTCTCTCTCTATATATATATATATATATATATATATATATATATATATATATATATATATGACTGCTTGGGAATACCGGGTACTGTAAGCTTGGATTTTGAATATTGTCCTGATGTTGCATGGGCTGAAGAACTTCTGAATAAGCTCTTGATGTAAGGTAGACAGACCATGGCAAATTTCTGGTCATCCTCCTTGTCCTTTTTGTTCCTACCTATAGACACTGATGTTGCTGGGTACTTGTTATTCTGAAGGGTATGTTTGATGCTGATCATTTCTTGTTGGTATGTATCTGGGTCACCACTTATGATTTTTTTGTCCAGTGTTGTAGGCATTGATTGATCGCTTTCTTCACACTGTATGAATAGTGGGAATTAAAGTTGAGATATTGTCCATTGAAGGTTGGCTTATGATATTTGGATGTTCTGATAATAATTTGAATATAATTAGTGTAAATGATAACTCCTTGTTCCAGAAATTGATATAAGATGTTGATATCATTAGAATGGGAAACTTATTTGATGGTGATAACAAATAATTGCTCATTTTTCTAGTATAATGTCAATCCTCATTTTGTGTATTGAGGCTTTGTATATGCTTTAGATTATAATACACTAAATCTGGTGGCCACTTGTCCTTTCTGTGGTGTTTCAATGATAAGTCTTTTCAAGCAAACAGAGCAGGTAGAAAACAAGCTCTGAAAAAATGCTTTTATATATATATATATATATATATATATATATATATATATATATATATATCAGTCAGTTATGTGCCATCTGTGACACACGCTTAAGCGATCATGTATCTTTCAATACATGGCTGATAAGGCACATTTTTCCCCTGCAGTAGGTTGCCATTTCTTTCTGGGGTAAACCAGTTGCCATCCAATTGGCTCTCCGATTACTCAATCTGAGCCACTATCCATTACTCCACTGTGCCTCATATATATATATATATATATATATATATATATATATATACATACACACACACACACCCCACAGTGACGGATCCTTATCTTCCATTTCAATTGTCCCTAGTTAACTCCAGAAATAAAAAATTCCTAATTTTTACTTAAGACTTGTAATGATGACAGTTGTTGACATGTGAGAGAAGATGTAAAAAGTGCTTTTTATTTTTTTTTTTTTTTTTTTTAGTGAAAGTTCTCAAGTTAATAAGGAAAGAGAAACATTTGCTGACGTTGCTAAGATCTCTGATATAAATAAATATTCTGTCACGTAACTTTTATTAGAGTATATTGTTATAATTATTCTATTTTATTATTAGTTATTGTTAATCTTTTATTGTTCTTAATAAAATCTACAGTAAGAATGAATCTTCTATCTGCCACATAATTTTTATTAAAGTACATTGTTTTATTTTATTATAAATTTATTGTGCCTTATTGTTAATTTTCTATCCATTTTATAAACTTAAATTTACAGTATATTATTATAATTGTTCTGTTTTATTATAAATTATATTATGGCTAAGTGGCAGCTTATGGCTAAAATTGGTGGAAGTGCTGCTTCAGAACATTTTTAGCCATTGTTTTAATATTGTGTAAAACAAAATAAACATAAAAAAAAAATTCATACATAAACTTATTAAAATCCGAAATGGAAAAAAATTTTTTACTTATAAATTGTTACAGTTCAAGGTTGATCCATTCATTTAAAAATGAAATTTCTTGTTTTACTTTGAGCGAAAAGGTTAATTTTCCCCTTGATTCCTGGATGACTGTTGAGAAAATTTTTACCTATTGAAAGCACTGCAAGGGCCTTTAGACTTTCAGGATTTGTAGTGCTCATTAGAAAAGTTTTTATTTTTTTCAGTATTGAAAAAGCAACATTCTCTGATGTAGTCATGAGAATTATCAAGAGGATTTTTATCAATTTCGTAATTTCACTAATCTAGATTATTTTCCAAGATAAATTTCAGCAGCTCAATTAACTTGCAATATTCATACATATTGGATCTACAATAGGTCAGTTTCAAGCTTTTGTTTGTCAATCATGGGATATGCTTCAGTGGTCAGTACTATTTCTACTTCATGGTTTGTATGTTAAAGTTCATCCTTGTAGAAGAAAGATGTTGAATGTTGGCATCCATATGCTACTTGAGAATGATTACACGTAGAAGAATGGCGTAATAGCTAAAATGTTAGAGAAAAATATTCTTGCTTTCCATGTAATACTTGCTGCATTTCTCATTAAATTAAGTTGATCTGCATAACAGTAAATGAAATGTGCACTACTATAAACTGCTTTTATCATTGCTTGAACTCCTTTTTTTTTTACTTTTCGTGCCGTGTGAACCATCAAATGTCTGATCTATCAGTTTTTCTCCATTTCCTTGAAGAATTATGTCTAATTGTTCTACTATACATGTTGATATTCTATCTGCAGCTTGATTTTGTGGAATAACCCCCCCCCCAAAATGCTGAAATATTTCTTCATTCAACACATACCATAGAACAATAACCATTTGAGTGTGTTCCGAATTATCTGTTGTATGGCTACAAACAAAGCTTCCCTAATTTCTGTCCTTGTCTTTTCATGGTATATGTTATATACCATAGATACGAACACTAATATATGTGCCAATCCTTATAAATATGTTGGACACTATTGTAAGTGGAGGTAATGTTATATACCATACCTATGAACACTAATGAGTATGTCCTAATCCTCATAAATACGTTGGACACTATTGTAAATCAGGGTAATATGCTGTCTAAGTAGTCCACCACTAGCAGTGGTTTACCTACTTCACGCCGCTGGCGAGTATTGTATTTTGTTGATGTTATAAAGATTACCATTTCATTTTCAACCTCCGTTTTGGTTATTCCTCATTCAGTAACCTTTTCTAGGTTACGACAGTATATTTGTAGCAGACAGTCAAGTATCTCATTCTGAATGGGTTTAGAAAACTGTACTCATTTCAAATTGATTTTTTAAAATCTGAATCTAATTTAGATACAAAATTTATGAATCTTCTAAATACCTCCTGGATTTATTGAATCCTCTTTTTCATCATGTCCACGTAAGGGAGTTTCAAAGTTTACACAAAATGAAATACAGTCTATTATTTCAGATAAAATTTCATAGTTCTTTTTAGCCTTCATGTTATGCTCATTGATTGAAAAGTCTGTATGCCTCTGTGGCAGATGTGATGAGACAGAACCTGGGGCCTATAACACAACTGGTTTGTGACTTGCCTTATTCCATAAAAAAGAGCTCAGTGTTGCTTAGCATGTAAAGCTACTGCAGTTGAAATGAGGGAGAAAAAGCACTTACCGCTCTGCGTAATCCGTCCTTGGCCAGATAACGTAAAAGAATGAGGGGGGACTTGCATTGCATTTTTATGCAATAAAGATGCAATGCATTATGGGATCTTATAAAAGCGCAATGGATTATGGGTATATGGACAAATATAAAAGCAACTGCTTTTTTCTTTCCAGTGGGGGAGTTCTTTGAGTGGCGTTCATGGTTGGCGGCTAGAAAAGTCTGTTAGTGCGATTTTGAGACAGAACTCAAGAAGGAGACGACTTCGAGGTTTGAATATCAGTTGGGAGAGCTTGAATTTACTCGCTGGTTGCTGTTTTCTTTTTATTTATGCCCACAGCCTCACTAAGTTTCTCCTTAATACTTACGTTTTCTAAAAGTGACAGTGAAACCACATTTACAATATGCTTCTTTGACTTCTAATGTTTTTCCATTTTTTTCTTTTGTTATGTTTATATTTCTAAAACAGTCTTTTGTTCACGTTGTATCACCTCCAAACAGCAAACACAGGAAGCAAAACAATACATTTTTTTACTTTACAGTTGCGGAGTCAACTTTTCCATTGGCACCATTCAAAATTAAAGCTACGAATATACCTCATGTTGTTGCATATTCCTGGTTGAGATATTTGAATATCCGGTATTGAATGGTCTCTTTTCTTAACTGTAACTTTCTTATGGAGAGACAACTGTGAAGACTTAAGCTGTTGAAGATCACTTACTGCCACAGAACTTATTTCTTGGGGATCCAAAGAGATCATGAGTTAAATTATTAAAATGTTCTATGCAATAAAACAACTGAAAAAAAATGAATAAAACAGAATAGCTGGAAGCATGATAGTCATCTACAAATTATCACATTTAAGATTATGATACAAGGTTTTTAACAACACGTGCTGTCCAAAAATAAGCGCTACCTTTTACTCAGACAACAGTTGGCATTGCGTGAGTGACACTGCTTTGTCTAACCAGCCTCCAGCTTTTCCCCCCCCAGACACATATGCATGCGCATGCCAGCCAAACACTGCAT